TCTTTAGTCATGTTCTCCTCTATGGTGGGTCTTACTTGGGAGAGATATCTGCAAAGTGTCGTCAAGCTTTTGAAGGTTGTCCTGATGTTATATGGACCACAGATCCTTTGTATTTTCTCTGATAACCCCTTCACATAAGGCAGGCAGACTGTTTTCTGAATGTTGTTGTCCTCCTCCTCTTGTACCTGCCTATCCCAGTTTTTGGGGGCTGCTGCCATGTACCCAGGGTAGTTGTTACATTGTAGGGTACCACTTATACTGACCAATTCTTTATCTAATGTCTCTGGGTCGCCACTTATGACTTTTGCTCGGCGTTGTAAGCAACAGACAATCCCTTTCTTTATGCTGTATGGATGGTGGGAGTTGAAATTGAGGTACTGTCCGGTGAATGTCAGTTTACGGTATACAGATGTCTTAAACCCATGCTCTGTTCGAGATATTAGAACATCCAAGAATGGGAGTGTGTTGTTACTCTCTTTCTCCATTGTGAACTGTATTGAAGGTCCTATTGAGTTCACATGGACATCTTCCTGGTGTGGCCAGAGTATGAAGGTGTCATCTATGTACCTTAACCATATAGTTGGCTTTAGAGATATAGATTCTAATACCATTTCCTCAAAGTATTCCATGTATATATTCGCCATTGCTGGTGATAATGTTGAGCCCATTGCTAAGCCCTCATCCTGTCGATATACATGTGATCCCATTCTGAAGTGTGTTGTTTGTGTACAGAAAGTCAAAATTGATTGCTGCATTTAAGTATTGTATTTAAGCTTACCTTTTAAAAGTTCAATGATAATTCTTCTGCTGCCACTTGGTGTACATAGGTCCTTACTCTCCATACAAATAATTATTTTTTTATTTTATGGGTGGCATTTTTTGAATTTTTGAATTAATTTCAATTATTCCCAAATTTATTTCCAAGTTATAAAATTTGTTATCGTACAAAAAAAATTGTTGCAAAAAATCATGTAAAGAAATTGCCAAGAACAATCGCAGGAATGAAAACTTGGGAGTCCAAAATTTCAGGATTGCATGTCTGTATCCGACCTGAAATGTTTTTAATTTGCTTATCTAGTTGGCCTGATTCCAAAATGATATATTTTGGGCTATGGCCTCCATGAGTAAAGTTGAAAAAGTGTGACAAAGTGACACACTGACATTTGCATTTATTATATACATAGATATACTTGTGTTAATTATATGCTGAATGTTTCAAAATTTGTGTTTTTAATTTATTTAATTATGTGCATAAAAATTCCATTCTCTTTTCTAAGAGCTCAGTTATACAGATATTAAAGAAAAAGGAAAGTGTGGAGAGCTATGATTGCCAGTGTCCTGAAAGGACTTGGCATTTCAGGTAGATGTTTGACAGTTTCTGCCTCAGTAAATATGTATGCATATTCATATGTAGTGCATGTGTATATGTAGTGCATGCGTATATATTCATATGTAGTGCATGCGTATATATTCATATGTAGTGCATGCGTATATTTTGTTATGTGTGGGAGGTAAATTTGAAATTGTTGTCTTGCCAATTCAGTGGAAATGCACTGAAATTGTTCTGGAAAAAAATGAGAAAAAAGTAAAATTTTATTTGCTTACAATGAAGCTGCATTGAAGGGGAGATAATCCTGTTAATAATATTGATTAGCCCCTTGTGCTCCCAACAAATTTGGACTTTTTTGGTCCATTTTGTTCCATCTTTCTTTCTGCAGAGGCATTATTCCTTTTATCACTTAAAACTGAAATACCTTTTTTTTCCTATTTTTTCCATCCTTTTTTTCTATTCATTAAATGATTTCTTATAATTTCTTTTTCTCTTCACTATTTTACATATCATACTTTCATTTTTTATTAATTTATTTTTTATTTATTGAATATATTTTTACATTTGTAGCTCATTTTTTATTTTCTTTTGTTGTCTCCTTTCATTTCTCTTTTTCATTTCTTCTTTTCTTTCTTTTTCTTTCTACTTATTTATCTTAGCCACCATTTTTCCTAATCAATATCTCTCCAATTTTCTCTTTTTCTTGTTCTTTCTCTTTTTCCTTCATCTTTATTTTTCTTCATCTTTCGTCCACTTTTCTGTCTTTTTATCTCTTATTCTTTCTTTCTCTTTTTCCCTCACCAGTTCTTCCACTTCTTCTATAACTTCTTCCAGAAACATTCCTGTTTTGAGAAATATAATTTCCAAAATCTTAGTAACATTTTTTTCATTTTCTTTATCTGTCACAATGCTTACTTACCCACCTCTCTCTCACACACACACACACACACACACACACACACACACATTTTATCATGATGGTTTAACACATAGATGACATAATCTCATGGCTCATGGGATCAATTCTGCGATGGAGACATCTCAAATCAAAAGCATAATATTGGTTGTCTTTTTGTCTAAATATTTTTTTATTTCAAGATTATTTACAAATATATTTGCTGATTCTTTATATTCTTTTAGACACATTATAAAAGATATTATTTAAATGCACCAGATTTAATGAAATGGTTTATTTAAAACACAACTTCCAACTAATTTTAAAATATACAACTCTGTTTTCTCTATATTATACTTGGAGAGCCCAACATAAGAACAGAACAGCACTCCAATAAAAAAAAATACTGAACAAACATATTTCACATTAAAATAAAAGTTAGATTTATTATAAAAGCCTACAAGTCAAAATAAGGAAGCAAATAACAGATATCTACCCTCTCTCTTTTTTTTTAGCTTTTCTTTCTTGGCTCCAATTGTCTTCTTGCTTTTTCTTTTCCTTATTTTTTTTTCCTTCTCTCCTCTCTATAATCTTGCATGTTTCTCTCTCTTTGTTGCTACCATACTTTTTATTGTTTTCTTTCTTTTTTACTTTCTTTTTCTTTTTTTCCTCTATATTCTCATTTTCATTTCTCTCTATTTGTTTTTTATTCTGCTTTTCTTTGTGTTTCCTTCATTGTCTTCCTAGCAAACTATATTTGTACGTGGGTATGTTTATACATCAGAAGGGAGTGGTATGAATGAAGCAGTTAAAAGCAATGATTTGGGAGCGTGTCAGAAATTGCTCCAATATGGATTTAGTCCAAACCTGCTCATTATTTTATTCTTATCTCTTTTAGAAAAAAGTTCTCCCTTAACCCAAGGTTATGGTTGAATGATGGAGATTTTACTAAGCAAAATAAAAATAACTAATAAACATATTTATTTTCTTGCTGTCAACTTATTCGGGAACAAACATTTTCCCAGTAATGTGTTGAATTTTGTTTTAACTTATTTAATCACTTAGCCTTTAATTTTTCTCTTCCCTATCAACTTCTTCCTCATGGAATACAATATACAGGATGCCTCAACCTCATTAATATCCTGTTAATTCTCAAAGCAGCCCAACAGTTGCAATAATATTTCGGGAACAACAGAAGAAAGGATGTTTATTCAATCATATTGAATGAAACTTGTCTAAAACTTAATAATAAATTAACAATTTCTCTTGGTAATCAAACTGGATCCAAATTGGAAAGGTGACATGTGCTTTCTGGAGTCTGCAGAAATTCATTTCTGTCACTTTAAACAATGATAATTTCCCCCCCCCTCACTATCTTTGACTCTCTTTCATTCTTGTCTTGTATTTCTTTCTTTACTGTTTTTCATTCTTGATTTTCCTCTTCCTCCTCCTCTTCTATATTTTCTCACACTCTTTCACTGCAACCTATTCTCTGACATTTCCTTCTCTCTTCTTTATTCTCTCTCTCTCTCTTCTTTATTCTCTCTCTCTCTCTTCTTTATTCTCTCTCTCTCTCTTTCACTGACATTTTTTATTTCAAGGCAAAATTATGAAAAACATGATCAGATCATTTTCCTTCAACCAAACAAACCTTTTTTTTTACACTAAGTAAAGTAAATTAACACCTTCAGACAGAACTACTACACTTACATTTATCAATTCAAATCAGCATTAATTTTTTCAGCTAATTTTGCTTTGTATTAAAGCAATTATATTATTAAAATTTTACAGGGTGCAAATAAAGTCAATACCACATTTGAAATCAAAAATGGAAGAAAATAAAAGCAAGATAATTACAAGTAAAAGGTTTGTCACTTAGCTGATTGATTTTATCTTCATCATCCCAACACCAGAGTTTCACAGATGAACCAGTTCATCAGTTCTTCAAGGGGTATCAGCAATTGACTTATACTTCTCGATTTTTCTTTTTTATATACACTTATCTAGTTTTTTTTGCAGAATGTATGCATGCATCTATGCATTCAAGCACATGTGTGTTTATGTGTAGAATGTTGCAATTATTTGTCCTTTTTGTCATTTTCTTTTTTCACTTTGCACTCTTTATCTTTATTCCTTATGGGTGCAAATATAAAGACATACACATAAGGGTATATCATTACATTTGCAGATAAACACATACACCCTTGTGCAAATTAATTAAAACAACCATTTTACTTTCCTCTCTTTCCCAATACAGTCAGTTTTAGACTCACTGAAGTGACAGGGTGTAATCGATTTCTATTTTTTCCTCAGATTAGGTCATTTGCAGCAGTGTGCAGTAATATGAATCTATTTTTGAGGTATATGATGAAATTTGCTTGGCCTTGAAAAAATATTGCGTTATCTGTAATGGCATTAGATTTTTATCATGCCCAGACACTATTGTTTCAACTGTCAATTAGCTGTCCTACAGTCATTGTCTGTGATGGATATTACTCTAAGGAAGCATACAAAAATTGTAATGCTGCAATGAACACACTGGCAAGCCTTACCAGTGAGCAAATCAAAGTACTATAGATCAGCCCTGAAACTCCCTTGATTTAAATCTATTTGAGAATATAGCCTAAAGATTGCATTAAAGCATGAAACAGACTGTCATCACAAAGTGTTGACCTCAGTGTCTCATATATATATATATATATATATATATATATATATATAAAGCTTTCACCACTTTAATCAAATCACATGTAGGTTTTCTGGCAGTTTACCTTGATTCATTCTTATCTTCACTCTTACTCCATATGTAGCCTCCTTTGTAAATCCCTAGCGAGTCTTAAATGCCACTTAAGATTATTGCACAAAATTTCATAACTAAATCAACGAAGCTGTCAAATCCTCATACATCGAAACTGACGGGAGAGTCCATTATTATTATATAAAAGCCTATGATCACTCTGGATTTTATTGTGCAGAGTGATCATTCAGAGTGATTGTAGGCTTTTATTTAAGAACCCTTAGAATCTATAGTCCCCAATTCTTGCCTGGAGAAAAATATGCTGAAAACATCATCAAACTCCTCCAATACCAAAATTATTTCTGGCACAATACCAAACACAAAGCCTACAAAATCCACAGAAGAAAAATGCACAAATAATAATGTTGTTGTAAGAACCAGTTGCCCTCATTAATATCATGATAGGAAGAAGATAATATTATTGCAGTGAGTTGTCTAGCTGTGTATTAAATATTACTATCATGCATGACTCAGTCAAGTTAAATGCTGTGTCTTGGCCAGAGCCCACATCACAACAATAATGATAAAATTATTTATTCTGTAACTCTGGGCAGTGACATTTACTGAAATGTCTGAATTTTTCTCTATACAGGTATTTCTATGAATATTGCAAATAATGTTGTTTACTATGTGTTGTGACAAGACCCAATTACTCTCCTTATTATCATGAATGGACTGATCTATTCATCATAAGTAGTCCTGGGTAATTGTCTAGGAGGGAGAAGATAATACTATTGCAGAGACTTGTCTAGCTGAGTATTGTATACTAATATCATGACTGACTCTGTCAACTTAAGTGTTGTGTCTTGTCAGACTGCACATCACAACAAATAATAATCCTAACAACCATAACAAATATCAAACACATAATCCTACCTACCAATTCAATAACAGCCAACACTGAAAAAAACTTGTCCAACCTTTACAGAAAATTCATCAACACCATCTCTAAAAAAACTATAGCTATTATCAAACAAGATAGCAACAACAACAGAACAGAGGCATGAATATAGAAAATAGACTTCACAAAATACCCATTCATGTATATCAGTGAAACCTCAAAGAACGATTATTATTATGATATCATGTATAATAACAATCTAAAGGCACTGGATGTCCACTTGAATACATTTGACTGCAGTTTTGATTAAAAAAATAACAGTTTGATCAGGAGAGAACAGAATTCACAGAGAAAAAATACAGTGAGAGTGTGCTAATTTTGCAGTTCTCAACAGTGAATCTAAGGCCAAGGCCATATGTTATTTCACCAATCATCACAAAAATAATAAAGCACAATGCAGTATACAAACTGGTAAAGAAAAGGACAGAGATCTACTTGGAGCCAGCTAAATTAAAACCCCAATGGCTCTAATATATATATATCTGTGTATATGTGTATATATGTGTATATGTATATGCAAACAAACTATACATCCAAATACCACCTATAATATCAGGAAAAATAGCACACCTCACAAACTAAAATAGAAACAGCTCTCATATATATATGTGTGTGTGTGCATGTATATACAAGTATGAAAAAAAAAAGGTTTAATATATGTATATGCCTGGGTGGGAATAGATGTATATACATGTATGTGCAAGTGTGTGTGTGTTTATATATATATATATATATATATATATATATATATATATACATGTATGTATATATATATAAATATATATATATATATTAAAACAAATAGGAAACATATCAATCTAACATGTTTCACTTTTATTAAAGCTTTGTCAGAGCTTGAGAGAAAACAGACAAATAGAAAGCACTCATATTTTTAATTATGTTTGGGTCTGTTCTCCTTGGATAATTGTATGTGTGTGTAGCTTTGTGAAGATTCTTGTATGTCTAAGTGGGCATCAGATGGTAATGTGTATTTGTAATTATGTGCATGTGTCTGTCTAGTGGGGGTTTTTATCTTCAGCTTTGTGTGATCAGCCCACGCAGTGGGGAGTCACAGAGTTCTAAATAATGGCTCACCTCTAAGAATTTATTCTTTGTATTAGATAGATATAAGTTAGATTCTTTAAGAATGGATTCAAAGAAAGACGGTGATATAATGTAATGTTTTATAGTTGGTAATAATGTTATTAAATTTTCAATGTATTTTCTCCTTAAAGAATTATTTCTTTTTTAATTAGGGTGGCATTAGTGAAATCAAAGTTATGCCAAGTATCATTTTGATGCAAAACGAGAGAGTTTGATTGATTGTTCAAATGCAAGTCTCTCTTGTGTGTGTAGATGCAGGCTTTTAGATCATGTGATGTCTCCTCCACATGCCACAACCAAAAAATAAAATCTGGAATAGTCATAGGATTTTACCTCAGAGCTCTTAGGATATGTAACCCAGAATACCAAAATGAAGACAAGAGATATATTGAGAAAACTTTCAAACATTTCTACTACCCACATCATTTTATCCTCAATGCAAAACAAATGATCTTACGAAGTCGACAAAGCCAAAAAACAGACACCACCAATAACACTTTTAACAAAAATTACACAAAATTCATAATCCTCCTCTCTAACCCTCTTTCTACTAAGTCGCAAACAAATTAATCATTCCTAATACAATCATTACCACCACCACCTCCAAGACAATCAGAGATATAATTAGGAAGAATATTAAACTTAACATCAATTCAAATGTTAGGATTTATCAAATAAATTGTTTACAATGCAAAAATGTTTATGTAAGGGAGACATCATGTGAACTAAAAGCCTGCATCTATAAATACAAGAAAGGGTTGGTTGCACAAAGGGCAAGATAAAAACCCCTACTAGACTAACAAACACACACAATTACAAATACACATTCCAGTCGGATACCCACTTAGATATACAAGAATCTTCACAAACCTACATACACATAGAATTATCCAGGGTTTTCATACACATGATATATCAGACCAATCTGACAAGGCCTTAATAAAA